CTAAATTTAAACCAAAAGCAAGTACTTTTTTGATAGTACTGGTAATAGTTTTACAAATTACAAGGTGGCTGTGGGAGGACTTCACTGTGTGAATCAGTGATTTTATTTATAACAGCAAGTAATTTCAGGACAAGTTTGTAACTAGGTTTTAATGCCCATCACAGGTAGTTTTTTGTTTTTTTTTTAAGGCCATGGGCTTCTTTCTTCTGTTCTGTGCTTGACATATATGTAGCAAAATTGTTCAGAGAAGCTTGTGCCCTCTGTTCTGGGGGGCTCTCTTCACCCCATATCAGGGCAGTCACAGACACTGTCACTCCATGGTTTTTTGTGGGGTTTGCTTAAAGGGCTTGCCTAAAGTTCTCCCCATTCAACATTTATTTATAAGTAACTGAATAAGTATATTAAATAAGTTCTATTTTGTGTGATTGCAGAAAGTATTATCATCAGGTTCTTTGCCTAATGATCTGATGGGTTTCCTTGGACACTTGATATGAGAATGAATTAGTGATTAATCCTTAGCAGATGACAAGGATGAGAAGAACACAGTTGTGTTTGTGCAGTTTCCCTGGCAGTGCTTCTGCCCTGGTGTCACTCAGCAGATGAGATGCAGTTTCTCCTTCTTTCCCAAGTACCAGTTAGAGCTGATAAATGTTAAGCAGACAGTCAAAGCTGTCAGTGCACAAGATGGAAGATGTTGAACAGACCTGTGGTGCCAAATAAACGGTTCCTGCCTCCCTTTAAGCTGACAGATGAGTTGCTTCATTTCCTTCTGAGCAGCAGAACCAGTTGCCATGGACAGTGGGTGGAGGAGAGACCCCTTCCATTCATCCAGCTCTGCTTTGCATCCCTTCCCTGGCACTGGCACCAGGCAGGGGTGGCCCCTGCCCTTCCCTGGTGCCCAGCAGGCCAAGGAGGAGAGCAGGGGGACAGTTGTCATTCCCTTACATGGTTGAGACAATCTAACACATAATTTGCAGTTTCTCCTCGATGTTCTCGTGACCCAAGGAGTTTACAAGGAGATTTGGCAGTGAATTAAACTGGAAGGGCCAGAAGGATGCTGCCAAGGAAGCAGAAGGGGCAATACCACGTGAAGGATGGGAGCATGAAGGGGTTTGGAATCCAGTGGCAAAACAGGCTGCAAATACAAGTGATTACCAAAGCTGATATTCCTGTGAAGGGCCTGTTCCATGTGTAATCAGAATAACTGAGGTGGGAAAGGACCTCTGGAGATCATCTGCTCCATTCCCCACACTCAGAAATCAGGCACAGGAGATACAGGGGTAACAAAAGATCTGAGACACCCCTGGGAGGTGTGTGGATGCTGCACTCGTGTGTCAGACACGGCCCTGGGCAACCTGGTGGGACTCAGGAGTCAGATATAATCTGGAAATTGGCCTTGATTTGAGAAAGGGAATTGTACCAGGTAACCTCCCAAGGTCTCTTCCAACCTAAGTTATGCAATGAATGTTTAGTATTAGAGGCATAATAATCTTGTGGCATTTTTTCTTATGAGCATTGCGGGGTGTTAATATTTGAATGGTTCTCAAAACCTTTTTGTATATTCTCTATACCTTGTTATAATTTAACCTGGTGTGCCTGACTAATTTTCCTTCAGAATAAGAACAGCAGAAGGTATTTTTTAATAATACTTATAAAAGAGAACGTGTGTTAACTGCCAAGTATTGTAATGGTGCTTACTGATTAATTTTCACAGAAACCTTGTTAGAATAGGTCAGTACAACTTTCATTTTAGAGACAAGGAAACCAATGGGAGAGTAAATGGTTTCCTTGAGGTCACAGTTACATGTCAGGGGTGTAGATGTCACTGAAAATGGTTTCCTTTGTACTTTCCTCCAGTCTGTGCTGCCTCTCAGGAGAGGTTGGATAGCAAATTGAAGGCAGCTTGTTTATGGAAGTGCAACAGAATGTTAAAATTCAAGACAGAAAAAATCTGCTGAGAGCAAGTCTTATGGGAATACTGATTTTTTACTGTGACATAGCTGAGTGCATAATTTTTTCCCACCTGTCTGCTGCTCCTTGTGGTGGTGATGTTTTCTGAGTACATCTGAAAAGAACTCGTTGCTAAGAGGCAATTATGAATTAAAACTGGGAAAGCAAAAGCAGGGAAAAGCAAAAGCTCATATTTAATACATATATTCCTCTAGTGGTTTTGTTTGAGCAATTAAATGGGACAAAATTGCTGCATAGTGAAATGTCTGTTGCTTTTGCTGCTTGTTAAATATTATTCCTGAAAATAACAGCGTTGCTTCATCTAAATTGGGATCACATACAATTCATAGCAGTGGAGCTTGTGACTGACACTTGTATGTCTTCATAAACAGTGATTCCTGTGGACCAATGCAAAGATGGATTCTCAAAAAATCAGGAGAATAAGTGGTGAGCACTGATTCAATTAAAGTCTTGCCTCCTGTAAGAGCTTGTGGGGAGTTCCCAGTCCTTGGTCACTGTCACAGGGTGGCACATTCCAATGCATTTCCCATGACAGTAGTTTTTTCATCCCAAATACAATTTATCCTTTGCTTACTCTTCAGTATTTTAAAACTTGTGTGGATGCCTGAGGGCCATGGAAAAGAGGGACTGGGAAGCAGCTCCACCTGGAGCTGGAGCTCTGGACTAATCCCAGTCCAGAAGCAGAGCTGGAGGTGTATCCATGACCCAGGAAGGGGAACAGCTGCACCACAAGAACACTTTCTGCAGCCTGCAAGGAACAGCAGCTCATCAGCTGAGCCTTGGCCAAACTCCATCCTGAACACTTTCTAGCATTTAATGCTGGAAAGTATAAAAAACATGGAAAGGAAGAGAAAACAAGCTGTAGATTCAGGTGGTGTTGTCAAATAGAGATCTCTTACTAATGGCACAGCTTTATTTTCTCTCATGTCTTTTCCCCATGAGTCTCTGGATAAAGATATTACTGTCAGATACCCCTGGAAGGTTTTGTTGGATGGGATGGGAATTAACATTCTTTACCCTTGCTTTGAACGTTTATACTCTTAAAAATAATGTACCATGGAGAAAGTGTGCTTTTGCTTCAAAAACTGCAAAGAAATTAAGGTTAAAAGAAATTTTTCCCAAGTGAGGACAAAGCATCTTTGAAAACTGACTGTAGCCTTGTTCAGTGACCCAGAGACCCCAGCTGATGGATATGGGACCAGATACACAAGGAGCTGTAAGATACCATATATATGAAGACATATTTATTAAAGAAAGGACTTAAAAGACCTTCTGTGTAGCCAAAAAATCCAGTTTAACTGGCTTAAACAATACAGTGAACCTCATCCCACTCTGAATTACTACAACTTCTAGAAAGAGATCAAACAAAACAGCTTGAAAGTCAGTTTAAGGCAAAGCTTTGGGTGAGTAGGTGAGGGATTGATATCAAAGTACTTTGATGATGTTGAAATAAGGTTTAAAAGGAAAAAAAAAATATGAGGCAGGGACTTTGTATGAAATCCTTGAGGGCAGCACTCATTGCAACACTTGGAGGGTAGGAGCATGTTGCCTTCATTTAGCCTTTCATCCAGAAAAGCAGGACACCAGGGTGGAAATGAGCTGTGCATATGAATGACTCTGCTCTTTACATATGTAAAGCTTTACCCATTACTGATGTGCAGCCACAGGAACAGAAGAGTATGATATGACTTGTGCTTGGCAGCTGTGAAAGACTCTGAACTGCATGAGGATTAGATGTGAGCTGGAACCCAGTGTGAAAGGGACTCAGGGGCTGCTCCCAAAGACTGAATTCAGAGATTAGTGGGTAAACTGAGCTCCACAAAGCCAGCCTGGCTCTGTCCCAGTCTCCCACGTGTGCTGCTTAGGAGTGTGCAAGCAAAGGAACTTCTGGATCTTTTGGATCACTTATAGAAGAGCAAACCAGCTACATGCCCATTCTTACAGTGGAGATGGGGTAAGGGTTGGATGGGGTAAGTTTATCTTGTGCAGACTCTAAATAGGCATCTAAGTGTTTCATTTTGCCCGATTGCATCCCAGGCACAGTTAGATTGGCAACAGGAGTTCCCTTTGATAACCTTTGAAAGGAACTTTAATTTGAACAGTGGGAAAAAAGCCCGAGTAGGGACAACACAAGCTCTTGGGATAAAGCAGCTGTGCAGGTGAGCATTCCTTGGTTCCTCAGGAGAACCGGAGCCGTCCCGTGGAGTCGCGTCAGTTCGGAGCCAGCTGCTAAACATCAAACTTGTTTGTTCTCAGAAGAGTTTAATAATGTGGAAGTGCAGAGGGCTCCATTCTGCTGTCTCATCCAGGGGGATGCCAGTGTACCTCTGTTGTCACATCAGAGTCACTGCATTTCACCTTGGAGAGCCCCGAGGCAGGTGGTGATGGTCAGAGCTTGGGCAGGATGGGGCACAGCAGGAAGCACTTGCATTTCTTAAACAATTCTCAAGGCAATGCACTGATGGAGTGGCTCTTTCTAAGGAAAGTGAATTTGTACATGACTGATACACAACTCTGTAACCTGACTGAACAGTGAGTGATCAGAGCAGGCACAGAAAGCAATAGCAAATACTTGGTACAATGCTGAGAAACTGCCACAGGTGCTTGTAAACCTGCTGAGCATTTTGTCACTGAAGACTTTTTGAAGACTTTAGTACTTCCTCCTTCTTTGGTCTAAAATTAGAGCCCAGACTAGAAGGGGGAGCAGGGAGGAAATCAATACACTTTGATGGCAGTCACTAGAGCTGCGCTTTTTTAATTGAGGCAACTAAAAACTGGCTTCAGATGCTTTTGGCTTCCTCCTGCCTTTTATAAACTATGAGATACAGTGGAATTACATCTCCAGCTTCGCAGCACAAAGGATTAATGTATGTTTTAAACAGTACATAAAGCTGTCAGAGTGCAGCATAAGCTCACAACAGTTTGTGTGATGACCTGTGGGCTCTCAGGTACTGAGACAACAGCTAAACTTGTGTGGAGAGAGCTGAGAGGCAAACTCCATGTCACTGATTAAATATCTGTCTTTACAGGCCGGGTTTCCTTTTTCACCTCTGGGTCGGAGAACCTTCACCGTGTGGAGAAGGTTCTCTGGGGCACTCGCTTTGCCATCACCATCTCCTTCACCTGCAACCCGGAGCACGGCATCGGGGACCCAGTCCTGGGGTGACTCCTCTGGGGATGGAGCACGAGGGCAAATGGAAGGAGAGAAGCCCTGCAAGAGGAGAGGAAAAAGGGAGATGACATCTCTTGTTTTACCCCCACATTCAATCAGAATTGCCCAGCTGTGTCAATGGATTATAATACACTTTGTTTTCACGTGACCTTTTCCGTAAGGACCATGTCAGATCTGATGAATTCTGAAAATGGTTTGTTCTGTCCCAAAGAGTTCTTGAGTGGGCTCGTCATTCTTTTTTTTTTAGTACTATTTTTTTAAAAATTCTTCAGTTTAAAAGATACAAACCATCTTTTGGGCCATGCCTTGATATGTCTCCCCATGCTGCTGCTACCTGTTTAATTCTTTAGCCTTTTCAGTTACTCATGTGATGTAGAAAGTTTAACCTAAGTTAACTGAGCAAGGTGAGTGTTATTTTGAACACACTTCCTGTTGAGAGGAATGGATTCTCCTGAGCATGGGCATTAGTGGGCAGTACACCTGGGGTTTGGCTACTGGGACTTACTTGAACTTCTGTTTTAATTGAACTACTACTATTTTTTGCTACAAACAGGGACTAGTTAATACAAGGTCAGCAATACAATTCTCTGGCCAGAAAGCCTATTGCTTTTGGATTGCAAATGCTTTGTGCAGGGAATGTCACTGCACTAGATCCCTTTGATCAGAATGCAGCATTCCCATTCTGAAGCAAATGTTGATCTGTTATATTCCTAGGATGTATAATTTCTATGAAACACTGAAAATCTGGGAATGTGCTTTGATTTTTAATTTTTTTTAAAAAAAATTCTATTCATACAGTTTTGATTCCTTAATCTACCTTTTTATGGAAATAGTAAGTATTGGGGGGATTACCCTGCAGATCAGTATAAAGGGGAATGGTGACAGGACACCTGGCCTTGTGAGTGCTCTCACTGGGCACACCAGCAAGGTTAGGCCTCTGTCATTTGATTTCTTTGTTCTCAAACCTGAAAAAGGCTTCCTTGTCTGTGCTAACAAGGAAGGGTTGTTAAAAATGCTGGATGCAAGGAAACAATAAAGTCAATTGCGTTTCCTATTGAAATCCTTGCCTCAAAGCCTGTTTATTCCAAGAAATTTGAATTACACCCAGGTTTTAAGTCTCAGTGAAGGCAGACCAAGATCACCAGCAACTGCTTTACTGGATTGAAACTTGATTGCTCACATTGCTTTGGGATTCAAATGTGCCTTTTCCAGAACAACACCCGACAGCAGTGGAATCTAAATATGAATGGAGCTGTGTGATTCACACTGGGATTCAACCCACGTTCCAAAATCCTTACTTCACTCTAAGGTTATTGCAGCCCTGGCACTGGAATTGCTGTGCCACTTGGCCAGGTGTTTGCTGCTCACTCCTGGCTGTCATGCAGGCTTTGAGGGGCACTTTTGGAGCTGCCCTCTGTAAAATCCTGCTCTGCAAGGTCATCTCAGACCCTGGGGGAAGTCTCATCTCATCTCGGGGTTTCATCTTTGGCAGATCCTGGTATCTCCCACAGCTGGTGCATCTCTCCTGCTGGGACCTGAGTGACATTCAGAAACAAAGTCAAGCTGGTATTTGTCTTTGGGAGTCTTTAAGCTTCAGTAATCTGGTCAATATGATGAGCAAACCTGTCACTTGAATTTGCTGGATAATTGTCTACTGCACCCACTATGAGAATTTCTGTGGAAAAGAAGCACAGTAATTCCATATGCTGTATGTTTTAGTCCCACTGAGATTCTTCTGTCTGAAGCTTCAATATCTGGACTACAAAAAGCAATATCTAGATCTTGGAAGAATTTAAATGGCAAATGAGGAAGTAAAATGCAATCTAAAAGTTTCTGAATGCAGCCTGCAGCAGGAAACCAGTAATTGCAGAAAGGCTGATGTTCCTGGGGCAGAGTGGAAGTTGCAGAATTCACTGATCATTAGAAATCAATTTGGCTTAATTTATTTTAGGCCCCTGAAATATCCTGAATAACTTTTTATTAAGGGTCTCTCTTCCCAGTTCTTGACAGATAATTCTGCATTTGAAATACCTGAATTTCCTTCTGTCCTCTCTGTGGTTCAGCTGCCCTTTGCTACTGGGAACTGCAGGACTCTGGTTCTTAGAACTCAGATTAGGCCCAGGACAGGATTTGTTCTGTTCAAGTGGCACAAATCTGATGCCAAGCTACTGCAGAGAAGTGCTCTTAATTAAACACATGGTGATGGCAGAATGTGGCTTGATGGTTCCCAGTTGTGTGAGGACCTTTTTCAAAGAGCCCTCGTGGTTAGAGAAAGGTCAGCACTTGTGCAGTGTGAACTGGGGCTGAGTCCTGATGGTAAAATTACAGTATTTGGGAATGTTGATTTGTACTTTAAAAGGAAATTATTTGTAAGGAAAGGGAAAGGCTGCTGGGGTGAAAAGTCCCAGGGTGAAATGGAAAATACAGCAGGAGAGCAAGCCAGATTTGAATCCCTACAACAGGACTGACTGAAGCCTCCTGAGGACTTCTGTGGAGTGGTGCTGCTTCTAAAACTAATTTCCATTCAAAGGTTTTGCAGAATATCAGGAACTTCTGAAAAATGAACAGGTATGTGACTGGATGATGTTTTCAGTGTAAACCTACCCTGCATTACTGTAGCATTCTAGGAACTTCCTGGCATTTCTCAGGTATAACATTTTCATTGTGCAGGCAGCTGTGGAATCACAGGTTTTAATTCCCCTGAAGGTTTGGAAAGGTACATTTACATTGAGATTTTCCTGAATATTGATTGTCCCCCTGGAATAAACTGTGCTCCATCTTAATGAATGTCAATCCAGAAATGTTTACAAGGGTAATCTGTTTACAAAAAGATTTTAATTTGGATTTATGGCAGAAATTTAGCTTCCTGTCTTACTTATTTTTAAGGTCAGCATCTCAGCCAGGTGCTTTCTGAGGCTGTAGCACATAATGATGTGCACATTAAAATAAATGTAGCTGAAATGGCATTGATGATGACTGTGCTGTCAAGGAAATCTGGTTTTGTTTCTTCAATTGCAATTCTCAGTACCCTTGAATGTCTCCTTTAATAGCTTTCCTTTCCCTGGTAAATGAAGATGACATTGTTTTTAATGTAATAGTTCCTCATGTTCCTCCCACATCCAGATATCCTTGCACAGTGTTTACAGGAGAATTGGTTCTCTCTGACATGCTCATGTGGAGCTTTGTGCAATACTTTTGTCCAAATTCTAGGAATTAACCCAGGAGATGCTGCTGGAGGTCAGAGCTCTCTGAGTGGGGAGGACTAAATACAACCAACCTCCCTCCTTCAAGGAAAAAAAAAAAAAAAAGAAAAATATATCCCAACTCCTGTCTCTCCTTTTTGAGTCTCTGGTGTGGAAATCCAAGCAAAAACATTCCAAGAGCAGCAGAAGAGTTATTTCCTCTCTGAACCACAGATGCCTCTGGCACATGGATGGTCTCAGCCTCATTCAGGAAGGCAGATCAGTCATCCTGGGAAACCCAGCTCAGACTCAGGCCTGGAGTGGTGGGGAATCCTCTGGTGAGTGCCTGTTGCTCCTTCTAAAACACCAGCAAGAGCTGTAACATCTCTGCCTTATCTTGTTTTTTGTAAACATTCTTAGGAAGCTGAAAGCTAATTTTAGATCATGTTTGCTGAAACCTGCCAGTCATCTCTCTTTTACTGATCTTTAATTTATCCCCAAAGTATCTGGGTGGGCATTTTTTATCTTCCACATGAGTGTTGGTGACTGCAGGCTGGACTGTGCAAAGAAAATAACTATCCTTTTTCCAAAGTGCACATCTTTGTGTGCATCAGCTCCCCTCCAGTCCCTCATTTCATATCTCACTTCCCTCCAAACACAGCTCAACTTTTACGTGTAGCAAGAACTGAACAGGGTGTAACAGTCCATTCTTTATCCATTGCCTGCCTTGCTGGGACTGAAGAGGAGCTGGCTTTTTCCTCTGACCCTTTTAGCCCACGTGGGGCATTAATCTTTAAGAAGAATTCCTAACTCAATTTTTAAGATTTCTCATTATTCAGCATTCATTTTTTTCCAGCTACTCTCTTATTTTTCTTCCATTACAGGCACTGTCCATATTTGAACCACCACCCTTTATTTCAGAGATGATTCTTTCCATCCTGCCTGTTTTCCTGTAAAGCTGAAATAATGGCAAGGTAGGGGTCTGTTGTTGAGCACTCTTGTCTTTCATGATACCTCGTGGACAGTGAGCAAGGAATTCTGAAACAGAAGCTACAGAAAGCAGGTCAGAGCTTGGGACTAACAAGAAATGCCTTGCTTGAATAGTTCTTACTGTGAAATCAATAAAGCAGCTTGGAAGTACCATCCCCTTTGTTTTTGTAACCTTTAGGGGCATCTAAACAAAGGAAAACTATCCAAACAACTGGGTTTAGTGCTGGATAATCCAGAGGCTGCCCAAGGGATCTGGACTGGTGGAATCCATGAGTTGCCATGTCAGATTTATTGTTCATAATGAACTGCACTGAGACCTTCACCTGAGACTTGAAGCTGAAGCTCAGTGATGTGAAGCACAGCAAGAGCACGTGCCTGAAACCACAGCACCTCTTTTTGAAAGAAATATTCTATTTAATATTCTATTTATAGAGAGAAGCTGAGATTTGTGGGGCTCATGTTACTTATTTCTGGGAATTTCTTATAACAGGCCTTCAGTGTTAAAAAAAAGCTCATTTTAGACATGGATACCCTTCCTATTCTTTTATTAACAACCAAAAAAAAAGCACCAACTAGGTTCCTGAGGCTTGATTTTTCTGGACAGACACCTTGAAGACTTGTCTCTTTCTCTTTCCTCAGTTTATACAATTATTTTAAGCTGTTTATGTAGGTGCCTGGACACTTTGCTGCTGACTCCACAGAAAAAAATCCTACTGTTTTCCTTTGAGAGTGCTTTTCACTGCCAGGGGAAGGTCTCTGGGTGGATTCCTACCTTGGAGGTGACCTCCTCAGCATATTAACTTGCCAGCCAGACCATTAAATCTTGGGGGAATAAACAAAGGCAGGTCCTAATGGAGTCATCCTGCATGCCTTGGCTCTGGATGGTGGTTCCTTCCATTCCCTCTAGCAGACAAATGTGTTTATTTCTGATTTATATTAGTGAGGAGGAGACATGTTCTGGGAGTCCTCCCTGAATAACAGGGCTTTAATTGTGATTCACTGAATAACCTCATAAAAAGAAGGCCACATTTTACCAGGTGATTCAGAACTTAAAAGGCTGCTGTGAAGTAACAAACCTTGAGCCCGTTTATAGTCCTTGCACTTCTCAACACAAAAGAAGTGAGAGAAGGGATGATTTCGACTCCACTAGGGCCCATAAATGTGTGTTTCCTTATTGGTTTCTTTATTTTAAAGGAAAATAAGAAATTAATTTGGGAGTCATTCCTTTCCACAGGGACGAATATGATCAAAATAATCTGTGCTTTACTGGTGTGGAAGCAGAAATACAACAGAAGTAAATCAAGCAGAGGGGGAAGTTAAATTTCAGACTGTGTTAGGCAGGGAGCAGCTGCAGGAGATTTCTCCCACACTGACAAGTCTGTGTCAATTTAAATTGACATTTTCTCCTCCTCCTCACTCTACTGAATTGCTTCATTAGAAGATCAGACAAAGAGCTGCAAACTGAGAGTTTTGAGGCAGCAAAGCTCTTGCTGGTAAAACCTTCCATAAAACTTTCAACAGGACCTCTTCCTCAGTACCATTTACTTCAGCTACTTGTCTTGGCCATCAGGTGATATATGTATAGCATTTATTTTACTTTTTCTGAAACTAGGCAGAATTTAGACCTGTAAATAAGAAATAATCCAAGATGACATTAAAACTGAATTAATAAATATAAAGACACCTACAGAAAGTCTCTCTTCGGGGTGGAAAAAAAAGGTTTGAAAGATTTGGGTTTTTTGGAACTCTTAAAAAAGAACAGAGTTTTACTGATTTGTTAATCCTTTAGTTGGGGTGTAGGAAATATGCACCTGCTCTTCACTCTCCACTGAGGTTCTACTCTGCTTTTCCATGATCAAACAGTATCTGGAAACCCAGTCCTGTCCCT